TGGAGTTTGTAAATGTCAATTTGATAATGTTTGACTGTGTACCAATTGCTTTTTTTCCATCTAAAGCAAGGTTTTGGTAGACCACTCTCTAAACTACATAAGGTAAAAGATTTACCTAGAAACTTATAAAACACAATATGTACATGGGTAATATTAACTTATTACATTATCTTATGTATATAATTTAGATTCCATGTTCTTTTAATAAGATGATACTACACACTACTTCTGAGTCAAACAACTACCATCTTCATGACTTCAGCTGTGTCCACCAACAAAAGATCATCACAATTGGACTTGTTGACTTATGTATCATATTCTCTAATTAAAGGAGGAGGGGTAAACAGGGTCATTGGACCCTCACCTGAGTATCCAGCTGCTCCTCCCAGCCAACTGTATGTAATTTGGCCCTAATCACACATGGTCTCCTAGGTTTGGGGAAGACTAAAGTATATTATCTGGGAAAGGCTAGGAAGAAAAGGCTTGATCCGTGCTGGGTTAAGACTTTCCAGTGTACATACTCTCAGGTTACCCATACACATCAGTAACCTCTCAATCATCTCTGTGTTAAGTAAACTCAGTAAATTCATTGGTTCCCCCCAAAAACTTTAATGTAATCAAACATTGGTTCGATACTAAACCTAAAAAGGGGATAAACATTGCTTAATATCCCCAGGAAAAAAATTCTCACAACAGATAAAAAATGTATTTGTTAATGTTACTATGTCTCATAGTTATTAAAAAAAAAGTAAAAGATGTTAAAAGGAGATAAAATTGGAGATATTTTATTAAAAAGGTTTTATGTGTAAAAGTTAAAAATAAAACCAAACAAATGATGGAGGTCTATGTAGGTTTATTAATGATTTATTAAAGATGAGACAAAAATAATATATAAATAATCTTAAAATTTCTAAGGTCATAGTTTAGTCAGCTAGTTTAAGGATGTCTCATTGAGGTTTATTTAAAAGAATGTTTGGTTTTTGCCCAAGCTTTACCTACATGACACATGGTAATTAAAAGTAACAGATTGGTGTAACAAACCTTCTTGGGTATTTAATAGCCAGACTTTGAGGCCTATACAAATCTGGTCAGAGGGACTTAAAGGGACAATTTTTTGTTCCTTGCCCTCCAAGGTTGAATAAGTTTCAGGGGACTATGACACATCTCTCAATATGTCCTTCAGCTGGTGAGTCACCTGTCCTCTTGTTCAGGGAGGCCATGGAGACCCCAAAAGATGGACTTAAACCAGCCAGTGTCCAGTCTACAGAAGAAACATTTCCTCCACACTTGCAAGCAAAGCCCAGGTCAAACAGGACCTCTTGACTTATCTTCACATAGATGGGAATAGTAAAAGAAAAGCCTGAGGAGCCAGGGGCTCACCCCAAAGCCCATGTGATTCCCTGAGGACCAAATCCTCATATGACTTTAAGAGTAAAAATAAATTCGTTTATTTGGGCCAACTGTATGGTCTTAAACACCCAAAAGGAAAGTATAACCAAAAATAAAAGATATCAGTATATTTCTTTAAGAGTTCTAGAGATTACACATCCCAGACATTAGACTTAAGTTCTTAAGACGTTATTTAGACAATTATCTCTCATTGATGATTTTATTCCTAATAAGACAATGCTACTCAGATGTAAGACTAAATCTTGGTCTCCAATACTGTAGTGCCCACCTGCAGCTGAGGAAGACAACCCACTCTTGTTCTAAAATGATGGACAAATTTGTTTTCTCTCCCTATCTAGAGGCCATTTAAAAGGAACTGATTCTAGCCACTGCAACAGTTATCAAAGTGCCTGATAACAAATCCTGAGTTCATCAATCATCAGTCCAGCCTTGACAGGCGAAAGAAAAATGAGGAGAAACCCAGTAGATGGATGCTTTTGGAAGCCCTCATAAAGAAACTTGTTATGAACTTTTATGACTAGAACTTGTTATGCTAACTACTCTTGCCTTTGCTTTTCCTTCACATCTCCTAGGCACCAGTCAAGGACCTTGTTTTCTCCCTATAGTTAAGAGTTTTGCAATTCGGGAGTCTTTTAAATAGACCCACTGAAAGGGGTACCCCAATTGCATCACCCTGCGTCCTTGTTCAGCATGGAAGAAGCCAGGACAGTCTGTGTCCCGATTTCCTATAGGCAATTTTGGTAAACCTCTTCAGAGGATGGTATGATACAAATAAGAGGTAAAAACTGACTGGCTAAAAGTCAAAATGTCTATGGGCCTTTTGACAATGTACTCTGTCTCAAAGGCCAAAACCCCACTCACATTATTCTTTTAGACCCAACTCTCAGAAAATGTTTTCAGCCTCCATTCTAAAATATTCTGTATATTTAAAAGAAGAAACAAAATTAAGTAAACTATATAATGACACAGATTGTACTAACAGTCACGTAAAGAATTTATGTATCTATTTAGCAACTGAATGATATATTTAGCAATTAAATGATATTTAGCAATTGAATGACATATTTAGCAACTGGATATACTGAAGGCCTATTTTGAAAATGTCCACGAACTACTGTGTAAGATAGAGGTTCTATCTTTCATTTATGGATACTTTTAAAAATTGTCTTCATCTTAAACAGATCTTGTATTCTTGACCAAACAAGCTCACAGTCAACATGTACACAAACACTTATGCAAGTTGCACAGTAGCCAAAGTCTCCTTTTTCCAAAATCTGTCATTTATTTAGATCATCTATGACTATCAAGAAAGAACACTGGCATTATCTGAACAACTTTTTAAAAATATGGTTATTTATTATTTTTACTTTATGAGTGTAATGCTTGCATGTATGTAAGTGCACCTGTGGTATACAATGCCCATGGAGGTCAGAAGGGAGCACTGGAGCCCCTGGAACTGGAGTTACAGATGGTTGTTATATGCCATGTGGGGGCTGGGAATGAACCCAGTTTCTCTGCAAGAGCAGGCACTACTTTTAATTGCTGGGCCATTTCTCCAGCCCCCTGAACAACACTTTATATATGCTTTTTTAAGCATTTTTAAGTAAGGAGATATGAGCATTTTTAAATAAGGTGATTTGAATTTCTTCTCATAACCTTCAACATTTTCATGCATTTCATTTTTTCCCCAGATGTTTAACTTTAGATCACAGCTGAAATATTTGATCCACTCTAGACTCTGCTTTCTAATACTCAAGTCATTTTGTAGAAACTGAATTGGATAAAAAGATCCTAAAATGGCATCTTGAATTTTTATTCTACCATAACTTTTATATCAATAGACTTTATCACTTATTTCTTTATTAAACTGAATCTCTGGTTACATTTAGTTATTTAAAATCTAGTTATAACTTTACTCTTATTTTCCTATAATGAAAAGATTCAGATCCTCTAAAACAATAAACACATCAAAATACATATAAAGTAAAATGACTTTTTGATTTAGGTGGCTTTTTGCAATATTAGAGATTGACTCCAAGGCCTTGTGCAACTACTGTATTACTGAACTACATGCCCAGCTTGTGAACATATTTACACAGGACCACAATTAATGCTTTCTTCCACTCCCTACACATTTCCACAGCATATTGCTGGCAGGTGCACAAGTAGTGTGCAATAAATATTTTCTAACATTTATTCCACATTGCCTCTAGTTTTGTTTGTGAGTATGTTATCATTCTTCAATTTATAAAGAAATCACCACACTCTTAGTTCAGCAAAACTAGTCTGTATGATACTACACTGGAGGATACACAACACTATAAATCTGTCTAAAATGACAGAACAAGGGCTGGAGAGATGGTTAAGAGCACTGGCTGTTCTTGCAGAGGACCAGGGTTTGAATCCCATCACCCACATGGCAGGTACCAACCATCCATAACTCCAGTTCCAGGGGATCTGACACCCTCTTCTGACCTCCACAGGCATTGCATGACACAGGTGCACTTAATACACGCAAGCAATACACTCATAGGCACAAAATAAAAATAACAAATAAAATATTTAAAATGATGGCATATAAAGCAGCAAGAGTAAACCCTAATGTACACTATGAACTCTGGCTGTCAATCATAGGCCACCGTGGCTGTGAGAAATGTGCTACTCTGGTGGGGGATGTTCACATTAGAAGGAAGGAGTGCTCTGCTGTGGAGGGGCAGAAGATATGTGAGAATGCTTGGTATCTTCTACTTAATTTTGCTGTGAAACTGAAAGAGTTCTCAAAAAGTGTACTTTAATAAAAAGTTATTAAAATCAAACAGAAGATACAAGAGTATGATTAATATTACCGATAAAAGCTTATAATATAAACTCAAAACAAGAGATTTTTAGGGTCACAGAAATATTTTTGTCCAGTAGAAGACATTTTAAAATATTTTTATACAATACTATAAGGAAATTAATTCTTAAGAATTACTTACCTGAGGGATAACAATATCTGCTAATGCCTTTGAAAGCCTATATAATTCCATTGTATTTTCTAATTTCAAGGACCCGTTATGCTGAACATCATATTTTATACAGTCATATATGTCAGGGATCTTACTAATATCATATCTTCCATTCTTTGTTTTAAAGTCTTTCTCCAATTTGGACCATCTACGTAGCATAAGCTCCAATGTCTCACTATGGTAAAGCTGAATATCTAAAACAACATAAAATTTTTAGTATATTCAAAAATCTGATTAAGAATGTATATTAAAATGCTGACAATTAGAATTTATCTGTTTTATATGTATCCCTTGTTAGCTGTGAACTAGCTTTTCCCCTGGCTCAGATTCCCTGCTGTTGGGACTGCAGGCATATGCCACCAAATTTGGCTCCCTATAAACTGAAAATTTTAAAGAGTAAAAGGTAAGGTATAAAAAAACTAGGAAATACTAATATACGCATATATCACTAGTAACAAATAGGTTTTAAACCTGGTTACTTAGCACAAATTCTTAGATTAGGAATCTGATTCTCTTAAGAGCCTTTGTCCATATATTACAGATTTTGATAAAAACAAAACAGTAAGAATTATAGCCAAAGTGTGAATGAATACATTTTCAATTCTGAATTTTAAATACTGTTACTTCTTCATGTAACTAAACAGAACAAGCAGACTATCTTTCGCAGAAAACTCTTAGAAATTAAACACAATTCAAAGAACCCATTCTTATCACTAGAAATCTAAGAGTCAATGTTTTACAAGCTAACCTTGGAACCTGAGTTTGTTCCTTCTTCTTATGCTGCCTATTCTCTGCTTTTAATGATCTAGCAATGCTAAATTAACTAGACAACCAAATGAGAGTCTCTTACTGTCTTTTCCCCATGATCATGGATAATGCAACTGTAACTTAGCTACATTATTCCTTCGCTGGATGGATATATTAACTCATACTACACCCACATCTTGAGAGAGAGGCTTGGTATCTTAAGATTGACAGGCCATATTTTAAAATGTTTATAAAACATGATAGTAACTTCTGTTCTACATTCTAAAAAAAAGGTATTTACCAGATGACTTGGGATCTTCCATCCGATGTCTGATTTGAGAAGTCAAACTTTGAATCAATGAATAAACTTTGTCACAGGTCTTCACAGGATTTTTAATTAAATGCATAGATTTGATAACAGAAATGCTTCCAGATGGAGTAAGCTACAAATGAGTAAAATATGTATTTTATATCTTAAGTCCTATTTTCCAACAGAACTAACACAGAATCTCCATTCTACATATTAAAATACCTAACACAAAGAAGACCAAATAGGATGAAAAAGTGCCAGAATTTCAAGTTATAACATTTTTAGATCTTAACTATAATTAGATTACCTACAGAAAAACATCAGAAGTGTTCTAAAGGATGAGACTTGATGAGAATTTGCTGATTTGCATATTATGTCAAATATGAATTTAACCATTTGATATATATCAACATGTAATTACACTGTCTTCACTAGCATCATCACATTTCTTCCAGATGAGTTATGTAACTGAGGCTGAACAATTTTCTTAAGTTCAAATAACTAGGATGTGAAGGGGTGGATTCAAATATAGGAAGTCTGGCTGCAGAACTTAACCAGTACGCTGCTTTGCTTTGGTAATGAGGTGGTGTTTTGTTTGTTTGATTTGTTTTGTTTGTTTTCATAAAAAGCCATTAATGGTAACGATTCCAAACTCCACTTCTAACATTTGGTTTGGAAAGTTATTAGCCAAATGAAGTAGGTTTCTACAAATAGAAAAAGATATTAAGTGGAATTTGATCATAGTGAACTAAGTATTCTGGACCAATGTAACTGTTGAAAGCAAGGGAAAAATCCATGACAAAACCTTATTTTTCTTCTTTCGAACACCTAAGAGACAAGGTCATAAAGAATTATAAAAGCAAAACACAATGGCCAGATATAAAGAAAGCAAGCCTGACATTAAAAGATTTTTTTTTTTTTTTTGCATTGAAAACATTTGTTGATTCTAAAGAGATGCTGAGAAGAAATTTAATAATTTTGGACTTAGAGTACTAGGTCCAAAATGAAGTCCAGGTTATACAGTGGTAGAACTATACTAAATAGCTTGTTTTTAGGAGCAAAAATAAAGATGCATCAGAAGCAAAAGCAATACACTACCAACTAAGTTTAACTCAACTGGTTGGCCAAGAAAGATGTCTTTGTAGGATGACTTAATGAAATTCTAAGATAATTATGTCCACAGACACAACAGGAACAAGTAAATATACTAGAAGATAAAGTCATCTCAGACTCAATGTATTTGCACAAAGAAATACCCATCTATAACAAATTATATTCAGACCACCTAAGAAAATTAAATACTATGAATGTTGGCCAGCAGAATGTAAAACAGAAACAGAACTTTACAAGACCTCAAATACTGGGATTATCAAACAAAACTAAAAGACTTCTTATGTTCAAGAAGATATCATTGAAAATCATCAAAGATATGAAAATTATTTTTCAGTGGGTTTTCAAAAGGCAAATAGAAATTCCAGAATTGTAAAATAATATTGGTTAATTCAAAGCACAGTAATTATAGCCAAAAACAGATCTAGTAAGCTGAATGATAAAGTAGATTATTACATCTATAATAAATTATAGCAAAAAAACTGAACTACTTAAGTTCCAACAAATATACTTTTATTTGGAGTATCAGAAGAATATAACAAATGCCATAGTTTTAAAAAACTTTCCAAAACTCAAAAATATCAAACCACAAACCTGAGAATCCTAATAAACCACTAGCAGGTGGAAAGTAATTTACAGAGGTTGACAATTTAGCTGAATTTAGAGGTAAAGTGCTTGTCTAGTATATACAAGATATTGGGGTTTAATTGTTAGAACTGCCAAAAAAAAGTTTTGTTAGACATAGTTACTTTTTAACCTGATAAATCACTTCTTCTATTTGGTCACTATAGAGTTGGTCCTCTAATTTTTTAACATCTGAGTCTTTAGAAAACTTCTACAAACAAAAGATAAAAATTAAATATTAATATCAGTCAGGACTTTATTTTCAAAAAGGGGGGGGAGGGAGGATGTATGTATGTTTATGTCCATGTTCATGTTCATGTTCATGTGTGTGAGTGTGTGCAGTGCTCAGGAACACAAATACATGTGGAAGCCAGAAGACAACCTTGGTTGGGGTTTCTCAGGTACGGTCCACTTTTGTCAAAGGACACAGGGTTTCTCAGGCTTTGAATTTGCCAAACAGGCTAGCACACTGCCCATCAAGCCCAAGGAATCTGTTTCCCAGTGTTGGTATCCCACGCCCTTGTGCTTGCATGGCAAGCACTTTACTGACTGATCTATCTCCCCAGCCCAGGACTTATTTAAAAAATATATATATATATATATATGAGATTAAAGATGAAATAATAAGATTAATCCCTGAATTAAGACAAGCACTGGATGACAGAGACAATGAAAGAAGATTCAGTCTCATCCCACACTGCTTTACCCGGTGATGTTGTTTAAGAAGGGCAAAGTAAAATAAACACAGCTTCAGAACAATCAACAAGAATGAAACAAGAAATCACCACCAGGAGACTTAAAAATAATAAAATGAAAACTGATCAATCAACTTAAGGCATTTAGAGATGTAAACAAAATTTGTTTAAAAAATTAGTAGAAGTATAGAAAAAAAATTGGAGAAAGAGGCTGAACCACTAGTGAGTTCTCTAAAAATGAAACACAAATGGCTGAGAAACAGTTTAAAAAATGTTCAACATCTCTAGTCATCATGGAAATGAAAACCAAAACCACTTTGAGATTTCTTACCCTCTCGGGACAACTAAGATCCAAAACATAAACAATGGAAAATGTTGGTGAGGATGTGGAAAGAAGGGAACTCTTATTCACTGCTGGTGGGAGTGCAAACTGGTCCAGCTGCTATGGAAATCAATGTGGAGATTCCTCAAAGAGCTATAATTGACTTTCCATATGATCCAACCATACCACTCTTGGGCAATGTAGTGATCTGATTGAGAATATCCTCCATAGGCTCCAAGTATTTGAGCATTTTGTCCCCAGCTGGTGGCACTGTTTTGGGAGGTCTTAGAAGTTGTGGCCATGCTGCAGGAAGCATGTCACTGGGGCGGGCTTAGAGAGTTCTTAAGCCTTGCTGGATCCAGATCAACCTCTAGTCACTCTCTTATTTTCTGTGTCTGCTTGAAGATGTGAAAGTTTAGCCTCTGCTCCTACTCCAGCCTCCTCTGCCACCAAGCCTCTCCACCATAATAGATTCTTGCCCCTTTGGAACCATAAGCTAAATAAATTCTTCCTTTTATAAGTTCCCTTAGTCATGGTGTTTCTATCACAGCAACAGAAAAGTAACTAATACAGTAAATATACCCAAAAGACTGCAAATCCAACTACAGAGATACCTGTTCATGTACATTCACTGCTGCCCTTTTTCATAAAAGCTAGGAATTGGAAACAACATAGATGTCCACCAACTGATGAACTGATGATGAAAGCATGGCAAATAAACAAAATGGAATCTTATTCAGCTCTTTAAAAAAATTATGAAATTAGCAGGTAAATGGATAGAACTGGAAATAATCATCTTGGGTGAGGTAACCCAGACTCTGAAAGGGAAATGTTGCATGTTCTCTCTCATAACTGGATGCTAGTTTTAAAATCTTAGATATGCATGTTTCAGTGGGAAAATCCAAAGAATTCAGAAAACTAACAAATGGCCATCAGGGAGGGATTGGAAAGAGGGGAGGCTTCATGGGAAGGGAGACAGGAAAAGAAAGTCTAAACAATGGTTCTTAGAAAGTACTAATGGAACTCATCAATGATGGAGAAACTGCTCAAGAAAGAAAAAAAATGCATGCTATGAAATATAAAAAGGACATCCTTAGATTCTACACATATTGCAAAGAATTTAGGGCATTATAAACTGCCACAAGAACATAATAATTCTAACACAAACCTAACTGAAAAATGCTAAACAATTTTTATTTCCATATTTACAAACTTCCTTACAAGGAAAACTGCCATAGGATTTGCACAATATTTAGCAGGATTAAAAAAAAAAAATGAATGAAGCAGTTGTTCACCAACTAATCTCCCCAGATAAGTAAGCACCCCCTAGATAATTTTTTCAGACTAGCATATTATCAACACAGAACTTAAGATGTAATAAGAGTAAAGAACATAGACCAACCTGATTTTTAACTACAGATACAAAAACTCCAGACCATAAGATTTGCAAACTCAAATCAGTAATATATACAAAAGGTAATATATTATAAACTGAGTTTACTGTAGGACCAACATTAACTTCTAATCAAATAAATAAATTATAAGATAGATGAAAAGAAATACAAAATTCAAATATTTTCATGATAAAAACTTAGCAAACAAGATTATAATAGAATGTCATTGCTTATGAAAAAGGTAATTCTTTTTGATTTTTATGTATCTATATAAACATCCAAGAACCTCAAATGAGAGAAAATATATGATATATTTTTCCTGGAACAAAAAGGAATTATTAAAAATTAGGATCTAGAGAAACCTTTAAATTTAATGGACAAGTGTTACAGCATTTCTCTGGAAGAACATGAAGAGAAAAAAGAAATACTACTTTAACTCCTTTAACTATAGCACTTTGGAGGCTGAGGCAGGAGAATTCCAAGTTGTTTAAGGCCAGACTAGGCTAGAATAGTAAGACCCTTTAAACAAATAAATAACTTCTATTCAATATTGTATGGAGGCTCCTAAGAATTGAAGTAAAGCAAGAAAAACGGATAAAAAAAACAAAGATTAGGACATAAAAATTCAGTGACTGTGCTTTTAGAGATAAAGAGGATCACTTCATTCTGATCAAAGGAACAAAGAACTCATATCCAGAACACAGAAAGACCTTTTATCACTCAATAAGGAAAACACAGACATCAAGCAGAAAAAAAGGACATGAGATTTGAAGAGATTTCACAAAAAAACATCTAGCTGGTCAACTAATATTAGACCATAAAGAAGTCCATCCTGGGCACAGCTACCGGATGAGCATAGTCACATAGCCTTAGAATCTCACAGGTAAGAATAGGGAACAAGGACAACTTCCACACACATCTTTCATGAGTAGACATTAGCTCACTGGCTTTGGAAAATAGTCTGATTTTATCCACTTATACTAAGTATAAGCATATCCTGGTTTGCAACAATTTCACTCTTAGAATATACCTAAGAGAAGCATGGCCTCATAAGAACCAGGTGGCATGCAAAGATGTTCCTTCCAGCATTAATTAGAATGGTCCAAAACTGTAATCATAGTTGAAAGCACTTATGAAGTATAGAGTGTTCATGAACTTGAATGCAAGACAACAAACTCTGAAGATCAACTAGGGCCTGCAGTATAAGCCCATGAGCTAAGAATGATTTTAACATTTTAAAGGACAGCTAAAAAGAAGAATGGGAGGGGGGCAGCAGCAGCAAGAGCCAAAACAGAGACCATGACTGGCACTGTGGTTATTAATTTCAATTGTCAACTTAATGAATCACCGGAGAGATGGACATCTGGGCATTTTGTGAGGGTTATCTTAATTAGGTTAATTGAGGTGAGAAGACCCACCCTAAAAATGGATGGCACCATTCCCCAGGCTTGTGTCCTGGGATTTATAAAAAGTAGATAGGAACTGAGCACATGCCTTCAATAATCTCTGCTTCTTGACTACAGATACAACCCAACCAGCTACCTCAAGCTCTTGCTACTCTAATCCCTGCCATGATGAACTGCAACCTTGAACTGTGAGCCAAAATAAACCTGGGCTTCCTTAAGGAGATTTGTTGAGGTATTTTCCCACAGCAATAGGAAAAGTAACTAAGACACACTCCGAAAACCTAAAATATTAATCATCTGGTTTTTTCACACAGAGTGTATCAATCCCTGAAATAGAAAACTACACAGTAAAGATTATTAATAAACTATGGAAACAGCAACAGCATAGATGAATTTCACAATCATAACACTGAGCACAGAATTTGCTAAGATCTACCTTTTCATGATCTTCATTTGTAAAATCTCTGTCTTTCTGAAGTATTTCATGAAGTCTTGCTTTCACACGTTGCTGACAGCTGCTCAAAGAGTCACTATCACTATCCAAAAGGCCATTCATATTTGCACTTTTCACCATCTGAACAAGAATGGGTGTAAGCTCTCCTTCCAGTGCCAAAAGACCCTAAACATTAAAGTCAATGGTTAAAAAATATATACAATATAAGCCACCATAACAACTTATTATATGCTGGATTTCATAAGGAATAAGCAACTTTATTAATAATGCACATCATCACTATCAGTAATGGCTTTAATTAGAAGTCCAAAATTTGGAATTTTTAAAAAAATATTGCCATTGTAAAATTCTTCAAGAAAGTATTTGATGAAAACATAATAATTTGAAAACCTGTTTGTTTCTACCTTTGCGAAAGCAGCTGCAGTCATCTGGACTCGGCCTTCATCAGAGGCATATATCTTGAGGTCATGTCGGTAGGTGCTATGTAATCGAAGTAAACCACAACCAGGAAATCCTGCATAATCTCCTGAAAGTAAATCCTCAAATCACTTAAGCTATATTTTTATTTCATTGCAGTTCTATATGTGTTTAACAATCTCATCAACTAAATGAGGACTTAAAAATAAAATGTATGAATGTAATCAAACCACAACACTTACCTTGACCTCCAGGATACATACACCTAAAAGCTCTTCCAAGTTCTTCAGCCTGTACCCTGCCCGCAGGAGTTAATTCTCCTCCCCATTTCAGAACCAAAAGTAAGGATGGCTCTTCTCTTCGGCTATCTGAGAAAGACACGAGTGATAAAACAAATGCTAAGTTAGTTTCTTTCAGCAGACATGTCTCAGTGTTGGTCTTTTCTCTGTGTTCTCTTCTTTAGTGGGATTTAGCCCATACATAAATTATTTAATTTTCTAAATGTGTCTACCTTTGTAGACTCCTGCTTCCATCAGGAATGAACTTTGCTCTCTACCTGAGAAGATCATTTTACTGAACCTTACAATCTTTCACAGTCAGGCTCCCATTTTCTACAGACAACCATTGTTTCTCCACTCTCTACTCTTCTGGTGGTTTATATAGCGTATTGGTTTGTGCTACACTTAAGCTATAAAAATGTAGCTTAAGTGATCTGAGGATTTACTTTCAAGAGGTTATGTAGGATTTTCTGGTTTACTTTGATTATGAGCTCCTTTATTCCAGGGCTCTGATCTTATCTGTCTTTATAGAAGGACCTTCTACTGAGCCATCATATAAAATGAAATGCATTAGCCCAAGTGAAGATGATGTGTCGAAGTTTTATGTTTTTTTTCTTATTGGATTTCAATGATTTTCAGCAAGATGTGGGATGGCCACCTAACATTCTAATTCAAATTTTATGCAATCTAATAAATTTTATGCAAACAGTAAAATCTAGTCAAGAGTAGCTTTTTTCTTTCTTTCTTTTTTTCTTTTTTTGAGAAAGGGTCTCCCTGTAGTCCCAGCTGTCCTGGAACTCACTATGCAGACCAGGCTGGCCTTGAACTCACAGAGATCCACCTGCCTCTGCCTTCCGAGTGCTAGGATTAAAGGCGTGCACCACCACGCCTGGCTAAGAGTAGCTTTTTAATTAATTAACTTTTGGTGTTTTGAGACAGGGACTCCTTGTGGCCCCAAATGGCCTGAAACTCACTATGGAGACCAGGCTGGCCTTAATCTCATAGAGATTCACCTACCTCTGCTTCCTGAGTGCTGGGGTTAAAGTCTTGTGGCACTGTATCTGGTTGTAACAGAAGTCTTTTAAATTTAGAATTGCAGGCTCTCAAAACTCCAGTTCAAATTCTCAGACACATAAGCAAAAGGGTTCTATACTTAAGTTTTGGACTGTCCTTTATCATAGCTTTAAGGTCTTTCTGTAGTGGGTGTTAGAAACAAGGGTCATTTTTAAAAAGTATTGCTGGCCTGGTATGGTGGCTGGTAGCACGTGCCTTAAATCCTAGCACTTGGAAGGCAGAGGTAGGTGGATCCCTGTGAGATCCAGGCCAGCTTTGTCTACATAGCAAGTTCCAGGCTAGCTTGGGCCTACAGCGAGAAGCTGTCTCAAAGAAAGAAAAATGAAGTATTGCTGGCCATGGTTCTATATGTCTATATTCCCAACACTCAGAAGGCAGAGGCAGGAATGTTGCCACAAGTTGAAGGCCAGTCTGGTCAATGTAGTAAGTTCCTGGCTAGCCAGGATAACAGAGGGAGCCCCTGTTCAATCAAACAAAGACCTCTCCCATCCCCCCTACAAACAAGTATTATAAGCACTAAAAGAATTAATACAAGTTATTATAATAGAAAAATCACCCTTTTCCCTGAGGATAGTTAGCAACTGCATGTGTTTTACTGTGCAGGTTGATACTTTACAGAAAGACAGTAAGCAAACAGGTTTTTTGTTTTTTTTTTTTAAATTTTTTTACAGAGAATGTTTTTTGATCCTAAGCACTGATAGAGGAAATTAGTCCATACTGTTAATTACAGAGAGTGATGAGTGAAAATGTTAAAATAATGCATAAGGCTTAACATACATGTTTTTATATTTAAGATAATTAAAACTTAAACATTTGCTAGGTAATAAGGAAAGTAAGTGTATTGATAGCTCAATCTTTCCCTAAATATCTGCTTACATCTTAAGGAAAGAGTCTCGAAAGTAGAATTAAGGTCAAGCACAGGAACATTTGTGGACTTTGAAGAGCCTCTAGGGTTCTTAACCACTGAGCCATCTCTCCAGCTCCTTTCAAATATTCTTTTCATACATTTTGAGATTTTTTTTTCTTGTATACTCTGTTATCTTACCAAAAAGAAAAGAAAAACAGAGTCGACTAAGTAATATTTATATATATTAAGCTTTCTGAAATAATTCCAGAGTAAAAACAGAAGTCCTAAGCAATTTCAAAAATAATAAAATCTATGTCTTACTTAAAAATGAAAATAACACAATCTATTTTTATTTAAAGGATAGAGTCACAAAATTCTCATTTTATTTATTTTTTATGCAGCACACCAATCAGAATATGGTCCAAATTATCAATGTATGGAAAGTTACTACGTGAATGTGAAACGCAATAGGGATTAAGAATGACATACCTTCTTCCTCACTGGATGTTTTAGGACAACCATGTGGGAGATAGGTCAATTGGACCTTACGATTAATTCCAGAAAAATGACCATACCTAGAAAATAATATGACAATTAGAATGCAAAATACTTGTAAAGTACTGACTTCCTAAAGAAAAGCTAAAATATGTGGAGAAAACAAATTCTCATATATTAATAGCCCCTTCTGTTTTTAACTGCATTGGTGAATTCTTCAAAATAGTCTAGCAAAATTTTGTATCATACATGGTCATTCTAATCTACTGAAAAAGTTTAAAACACAAAAACCTCTTTTGACAAAAGATAGACAATTTTGAAGATATGAGGAAGTACACAGCTATGTACAAATATAAACTTTTCTAAGGGCAGGAGGTTGGGGAGAAGAGCTGTGCAATGCTGCCTTCTGGATATGCCATGGTTGTAGTCATGCATTCCCAGAAGCTGTGGAGACGGCATGAGATCAAGTCAGGCAAAACTCCAGCACAGTGGGAGGAGTTCTCCAGGCCCCACCACTTACTGAGGAGCCGCTGGCAGATGGTATGTGCTGGGGAGGGACAATCGTTCTTCTGTGAAGGTGTGGTCAGAGGTAGGATTCCCACATTTCAGTGGACAGCCCCACACATACTAGCAGCACTAATTAGACTTAGTGGTTCATCAAAAAAAGACATGAATTTGGGGTGGGGACATGATGGGAGGATACGAGGAGACCTGGAGGGGGTAAATGGCGAGTGGACATGATCATATTTCATTGTGTATGTATATATATGTATATATATGAAATTCTCAAAAATAAAGAAAAATTATTTTTAAAATAAAATCAAAGTATCATCAAATAAAGGAAACAAGAGTATAAGTGGCCCTCTAGGTAAAGCTTTTAACAGAAATACCGATGAGTAGCAATGTTTGAACAGTTCAAAACTAGTTTTTACTTATATAGTACTGATTATGGGATTCAATTAGCAATGTGGTCTTTATCCTAAACAATCTTTCAAGAAGGTAGAAATGTGATATTTGCTTTCAATCTCCTCACTGAAATTAACAGTAAAACTAAAATAATAATCAATATTATTATTATTCAACAACCTATTTTGTCCCACTAGATTTGCACGTCTCTTCAGCTGCAATGACAAAGAACAGAAAGACCAAAGTGAACGAAGTTAAAATGGAAATCACATATACACAGCAGGAGAACTATGAGTTATCATAAGTAAGATTGGCAAAGAGATACTCACATCTCTAACACAGTCTTAAGTTGTTCAAGTTTGGACTTGTTTTCTTCAATTTCAGAATCATTATTTTGCCCCAGCTCCATAAGAAGTTGCCGTGCAATATCCAGGACTTCCTATTAAAGTTAAGTTCACAAAAGATTTGAATTTTTATACAATTTCACAATGGGAAAAAAAGAAAAAGAAAAAGAAAACACTTGCCTGTAACTGTTTTGGCTTCTTGAGTTTTAACTTCCCTGATTTATACCCATCACACTTTTCAAAAAGATCAAAAAACCTTATAAAAAAAATAAAACATTTTGTTATTTGCAATAATTTGCACACCTATAATCACAGCACTCAGCACGCTGAACCAGGAGGGTCATTAGCTCAAGGCCAGCCTGGGTTGCACCCTTACCATGTGTCACTATACTTTTGTCACTCAGTCTTAGATTTCCTTGACTCCTGACATACCTCTTCAGAGTATTTTGCTATACTGTTCAGCTTGGCCAACTCCTGGGATCAAGTGATCCTCCTGCTTCAGCCTCCGAAACACAAGTGAATGGAACTAGTAGTATACACGATACCTGACATTTTCTCTTCTACTTTTACTAACAGCCCCAAACTGCTTTCAAAAGTTTCTCAGGATGGACACAGAGCATATTATTAAATACAAAATATGTTCTGCTGTCAATGCAGCATATTAAAGGACCCAGGTCTTCATATCTGATTATCTCCAAATCAAACACTGAACAAAAATAGGAGCTTTCCACCAATTTTCTTCTAGAATGTCAAGAGGCTAATGATTCTCAGAATGCAATGCCAGAAAGTAATAAACCAAGATTAAGTAGGCCATATTTATGACAATAAATGAAAACAACATCGGACTGCTACTTACAGATACAGTCAGTAATTTTCAGAAGGAATCACACACAATTACTTTAAATGAATTTGTATGTGCTAGATAATTTAAATATTTTAGTGATCAAAAAATAGTAGGTAAAATTTTCCTGTCTGATGTATTAATCAATAGAGCTTAATACTAACAGGAGTCTTAAATTATACTGCAAGTGTAAAGTTATTCCTCTTAAAACATACTTTTGATGCCTCACTTCCATTTTCATTTTTTGTTTAGGTGTTCGATCCCCATGACGTATGACAGCTATGACACATCGAAGTTCCATCCTAAAATGACAAAAAAATACATCTGTTTTCAATTCCCTAATAACAAGGATTTACTTGTTTTGAGATCAAATCTTACAAAGAATTTAGGAAACCAGAGAAGGGGTCTTATTAAGATATATTGTATTTCCTCTTCTTTAGAGATGATGATGATGACCTGCAAAAAAAGTAAATGGACACTACCCTGAATGTTATTAAATATCTGCCCTGTATCATCAGACCTTTATCTGCTGAGACTCCCTTAAATCAAAATAAAAAGCCTTTATCTAATGGTGGCCATATTTATGTATTTAATATATCTTATCACACAAGAAGATTCAAACTCCAAGTGTCTAGAGGAATGCTAGAGTGAAAAGCTATCACATCATGTTTCAAAGTATAAGCCACTTTCATATCCCTGAAAGATATTAATAAAAAAAATTAACTTTTCCTCCCAATTAGGACTTCTCGGAATATTTAATGTGTTATGTATAAATCTCTAAACTGTGACTATGAAGCATTCAGTCAACTACCTGACTTTTCATGAGTAATTTTCCTTAGTAGAATGTTATTAAAGACTTTGGTAATATTGGTCTTATTGCTTTAGTTAAAGATCTAATTCAAACCAAAGTTGCATGGTCACTATAAATCTTTAAGTACTGTACCTACTGACCCTTCATGCATTGCTATGGCTTTGTTATATAGTTCTGTAATTATTCAAGCATGTGTAAGGATTTTAATGCATCAATAAAATAACATAATCTATTCCACTCCCCAGTCTTTAACTGAATCATATGAAAATATACATACTAAACTAATAATCATTCAGAAATTCAGTTTACTGTAATAGGAGAGATCTATGAGGAAGATGCAAGGAATTTCTGAATAAAAAATAATTCAAACTTACATAGTTCCAGATGTAGTTGGTACAATTGGAATATCTTCAGCTTCTAAGGGTATTGACCATGGAATATGAAACTGTGGAGCAAGCTCCCGCATTACAATATTTCTTCAAGACCAAAAGAATGAAATAGTAAACATTAAAGTAGTTCATTTAAATTTGAATTAAGCATTAAAAATTAGTTTATCTAAAGATATAACTGGGTAGTGAATTATAAGAGAACATAAGAATTAAAGTCAATCTACATAACGATTATATTACATTAAAAAAATTTCCTGGGGCTGAAGAGATGGCTCAGCAGTTAAGAACACTGACTGTTCTTGCAGAAGACCAGGGTTCGAATCCCGGCACCCACACGGCACCTAACAACTGTCTGTAACTCCAGTCCCAGGGGATCCAACAACCTCTTCTGACTTCCACGGCCATTTTATGACACAGGTGCACTTACCTACATGCAGGCAATACACACATACATATACAATAAAAATAATAAAAAAAAATTTAAAAATTTCCTAACAATCAGTCCTGTCTGATCAAGAAAAAATAAAGAAGCATTTCTAAATGAAGTATTATAACACTAATGAAATGTCACTTATCTAGGATGACTTTCAGTGGTTTTAAATCTGCAATTACATTTCTAGTTAGACATATTTTTGATCATTCATTAACTGTTTACATCTATTAAGCTATTTGTGTATGTGTGTGTGTGTCCCCGTGTGCGTGCAAAGTCCTGGGGATAGAAGCTAGAGCTTTGTGCATATTGTTTTTCCACTGACCAATATCTCCAACCCCTACAAAATTTTTCTAAATATGCTCATTTTTAACAAATGACTACTATATTTTATCAATAGAAGGAATAATGAAAACACATCTAAAAACTTGTTTTTGGGGAGTGGAGATTTCTTAGTTGGTTAAAGTGCTTACCTTGTAAGCATGAGGCTCTGAATTCAATCTCCACCATGCACATTAAAAAAAAAAATGGCTAAGTATGGTGGCATGCATTTGTAATCCCACTGCTTGGGAGAAAAAAACAGGTAGGTCTCTAGGGATAACTGGTCAGACAGCTTAGCCCTACTTAGGTGAGTTCTGGGCCAGTGAGAGACCCTGTATCAATAAAAAGTGGACAAAGCCCGAGAATGACACCTCAGGTTGCTCCCTGATCTCCACAAGCACATGTATGTATACATGTGCAAAACCACCCAGACACAGGTACACTCATACACACACACACACACACACACACACACACACACACACTTTTTTTGTTGTTCTGTTTAAAGTTACCATGCATTCATATAAACTTTAGTGAGACAACCCTGACTCCAATTTTCTTTATTAAAAAGTTCAAATCTTTCAACCAGACTATAAAATCAGACACCAACTATTAGCTCTTAGAGTTAACCATCCACGATTTTGACATATATACTTAGAAAAAGTCTTAAAAACAGTTTTTGCTTTATTAGTCCTCTGAATCAAAAAATTATAACAACAGAATAAATAAAACTGGCATTTCTATACACAGTATTTTCTTTTCATTTGATAATCTCGTGAGAATATCATCAAGAAACACACAGGCAGAAAGAGTGATCATGCAAAAGAATTCCGAGTCTCGAAATTTTCTACATTATGTAGGTAACATTTCCTGAATGCTAATTCTTACCAGTATGTAAATCAGTGAAGCATTTCAGGTATAAATATACAGGAAAAATGGAGGACTGTTGTGACAGTCCCAGGATATAGTATTTCTAATCTATGAAGTAAAAACTGTTAGGCTTCTTATCTATACAGATTATACATCAAGGTGTCTTTCATAACCTAAAGTCTAACTCAGATTTTGGCATAGTTTTGGAGGTATCATCTTATGAACACTGAGTATTACGCTAGGCTTAATGAGAATACAAAGGTAAATAGAAGAAAAATAAGATAGTAAAACTTACCCAAGTATTTTTGCACAATCATCGTAGTACTTCATGGAATTTTTCACAAAACTGAACCCATTGACATCACAGACATAGGACTGTCCGTTGGCTCGCAACAAATCAAAGCCACAAACTGTTTGCTATTTAAAATAAGTTACAAACTTTAAGGTTCCATTTAAATTATTATTCTAGTCTTAGAAGAATAGTATATATTTAATAAATACCTAATAGTATATTATGCTATATATACATTTATTTTATAAAAAGAAAAAAATTACTTATTTGTAACCTTGAGTACTCTGAACACACTTTATTCATTACATGTGCTTATTTAATTTCCTTATCATGAAGATGTAGAATAATGCATAAAAGGGTAAAGGCCAAAACCAAAACATTTTGTATGAAAATTTCTTCAGCTAACATTTAAATTTTTTAAAGACAAAAAATTTTTGCTAAGATAAATTTTACACTAGCAGGAATTAGGTCATTTTCATTATATTCCCTGGACAAAAGGGAAAATAGTCTAAAGACATATCACTGAAAAAATGTCCAACTATCCTGCAAATCTTTTAAACTCTTACAACCACATATTTGTAAACACCTGAAATAAATTTGTTTTACTTGAAATGAAGAAAATCATTGAAAGTAGAAAATTTCCTCTTCAGGCTGTACAAACATTCTTATCTACCATATTTCTTATTTAATCACTACACATTAGTAAAAAGTGATTTTTAAGTTTGTTTTTAGAATCCTAGTACAATAAAACAATTTATAAGAATGTATTATGGTGCTGGAGAGATGGCTCAGTAATTAAACGCTCTGACTGCTCTTGCAGAGGACCTGGGTTTGAATCCCAGCACCCATATGGCAGCTAACAACCATCTGTAACTCCAGTTCCAGGGGATCTAGTACCTTCTTCTGACCTCTACAGACATTACATGACATGGGTGCACTTACACACATGCAGGCAATACACTCATATACATAAAATAAATAAATAAAAATAAATAAAATATTTTTTAAACGAATGTATTATAACTTATTTATAGGCTAACATTCATATGAAAGTCTTCAAATTATTAAAAAGGATGTCTTTATTAATAAACAGCAACATCCAATAGTTGAAGTCACAAATCTGAGATAGAAATTTAAAAAGAAAACGGATCCTTTATTGGCTTTTAAAAAAAATTTTTGTTTGTCTTTTTGAGACACAGTCTCCCTGCAGCCCCAGTCGGCCTGGAACTAGCTACGTACACCAGGCTGGCCTCGAACTCACAAAGATCCACTTGCCTCTGCCTCCCAAGTTCTGGGATTAAAGGTGTGTACCACCACGCCTGGCAAAATGTATCCTTTATTAAATGAAGGTTCGACTATTTCCACTCAAACTTTTACGACAGAATAGTTAATTAGTTAAAAAACAAATCTCATAGATTAAAGGAAAAGTCAAACACCAGAAGCAAAACGTTGTCCTAAAGAAATGTATTTATATTGCTTCAAAGGCAAGTTTTATCATGTACTAGGCCCAAATTGGTAAGTAATAATAGAACACTGAGGACCATTTTTATCCAAAACAATTTTTAAATTAATTCTATAAATGTAAAAAATATAACCAATATTTTAAAAGAATACGTTAGGTGACCACTAAATACTAGTAATATTCTATAATTTTAATTTTTGAATAAATTAATAAGGTTTCCTTTTATATACTACAAAAAAATATATTGGCATAAGAAAACTGTTAGCCCTACAAGAACCCCTTCAAAAAAATACATGAGTTTATATATTGATTACTCGTCTAGCTTACTTCTCTAATTATGAGTCCAAATGTCTCTTACTTAAACAGAAAAATCTGAATATAAGTGTCTACAAGACTTGTATAACATCTTACCTTAAAGGCAAGGCAGACTTTCCAAGCAATTAACTTCTCTCGTGCATTGAGAATAACAGGGTATCTTACTTCCTTCCCTTCACTGTCTCGTTCCACCTTGCCATCCAGAGCAGGAGATTTTCGAGCTTCAGCATGAGCATAGTCGGGACCCACAGTATAAACCTTTCATAAAATTTAAACATGCACAGTATATATTACTGGTTACATATAGAACCAGAAAATCATAAATTCAAAGAAAAAACTTAAAATATTTCAGAATTCGGAGTACTGAAAGACATATCTTTCTATTTTACATGCTATAATTTTTCAATATAAGAAAAGGTTATAATAGTTATACAGCAAAGCAAGTCTTTATTCTCTATAGAAAATTATTAAAGTGAGCATTATACTGCTAAAATTGTTTACGCTTAACAAAGGCAATAAGCTATAAATTTTGGAAGGAGAAAATGACCAGAAGATTTTTTAAAGGGTGAGAGAATAAACTTAAATTGAGACGAGAGGAGGAAAGGCATGCTATACAGAGCTGACAAACACAGAGTCAGAAGAATGAAGCAGCATGATGAATTCAGGGAGGAAAAGGGTTCTGACTGCACTATAGCCTGCAAAAAAATGAGATTTCTCAGAGAACAGAACAGGAAAGAGCTTACATAGCAGTCTTACGAATCTGGATGTTATCCTGTGGTCACTAAGAATCTACCAGAGAACTTTAAAGGATAGGCTCAAGATCAAATTTATAAGTTTAGAAATAATCTAGTTAGAGAAAGGCTAGCTGGAGTTTTTAAAAGCTACTATCTCACTTGCCACCAAGTGAAATCCTGGTATTTTTTTTAATCATGTTACAATTGTCACAGATCTCAAGTATCACTTACACTCGTCAGTGCTCAAAAACGATGGCAGCTATTCGAATACTTGATCCTGATATTTTGTTATTTATTAACCCTTTAAAGAATCATACATTATTATATTTAAAAGTTTACCTTTGAGCTTTAAACTGTCATCTTTGTAATACTGTATGTTTTAAGAATTTAGGAACAGTATTCTTTAAAAAGAGCTTTTGGGCTTCCAACTGCCAAAGGTGTTCACAGCATAAAACTGAGTTAACAGGCCTGGGCTGGGATATAGTTAGTGTAAAATGTTTGCCAGGCTTGCATAAGGCCGTAGTATCAATAATAATAATAATAGTAGTAATAATAATAATAATAGTACTATTAGGAATTTTCCATTTGACTTAAGATAGTACAACAATGATTCACATTCAGCTTGACATTAGACTTTGAATTCTGATCTTTTCTCAATCAATGATAATATAGTATCACATTCTCTCGTGACACTGGACAGTAGCAGTTAGCTACAGCTCCTTGTCAGCCATGAGATCATGAGTGCTAACCGACAGTGCTCTGCAGTGTACAGTCCACTAAACTATGATGTTCATAAGGTTAGGTTTATTAAATATATTTTCAATTCATGTTAATTTCCTCTTCTTTTTTTAGACAGGGTCTCAGTACATGGTCCCACATGGCATGGAACTGGCCATGTAGCCAAGGCTTGCCTCAAACTCAAAATTCTCCTGCCTCATATCTGAGTGCTGGGACTACAGATAATGCCCTACCATATCCAGCTAACATATTTTTAAGTTAAGAAAGAGATTATCAGGATATAACTCATCATAAGTCAAGGAGCATATGTATTTTAAGCCATCAACACCTTAATCAATCCCACTCTAATTGCAAAATTAAAATATACTTTAATCAATCCTACCTTAAATGTACTTTAATCAATCCTACCTTAACATCAGTACCATCTGTAGGCATAAACTCTTCATATATATACGAGCCTGTTTTTCGCACATTGCTTTCTGGGGAATATACACTACTTCTACTACCAATCTGGAGATAAAAAATGTCCATCGACATAAAAACCAAATTAGTTCCCACATTTTTATAATACATAGATAAAATATAGCCCTTATTTACCATCTATTTATACCTTAACATTTTTGAATTATTTAATTCATGAATATTTAACAATGCTTATATGTATTTGGCAGTATAATATTCTCTTCTGTATCTGTAACTTAAATGTAAGGTAAATAGTGTAAAAATATAATGGACGCTATGATGTTTCTAGATGAATGGAGGACCCAAGTTCAATTCCCAGCACCCACATTAGGTAGCTCACAACTAACATAACTCCAGTTCAAAGGGATCAGATGTCCTTTTCTGGATGGACACACACACACACACACACACACACAGAGGTACCCAGAAATAAAAATAACTTTAGAAAAAATGTTTCTACATTCACGTTGCTACATGACATTCAGAGTCTGCTTATTTTTTACTAGAATAGAACTTCCATTATGTGAATAAACCAAGTTTCACCTTATAAATATATGTCTATGCTGTCTACTAAGCTTTGTGCATTACAACATTGCTTTAAACATTCTTATAAGTGCCACCATGGCATATGTGTGCGGTTATGTTTCTAAGCTTCTAGGAGGATCATGTACAATATCTGTACTTATAGAGATATTGCCAAAATTCTTTAGAAACCACTTTAACAATTTAGAGTCTCACAAGCAATATATGTAAGTTCTAGCTAGTCTAAATTTTCTTATTCTTGTCTATACATTTTTTGTCTATGATACGTGAGATTACAAAGGATATTAAGATGGCATTTCACTGTATTCTTAATATGCAAATGCATAACTATTTATAAATGCATTTTAAATTTCTAAAACACAGTCAGGATTGGGCATGCTTCTCAATTACCAGTTTAAAAAAAATCTTTTTCAGTCCAAAATTAACATAAAAATAATATAATTCATTATATTTCAGATCTGATTTGCCTTTCTATTAATATTTAAGGGGACAATTAAGAATACTCTCATGTATGTAGAAATTTCTAGTATTATTTATTCTACGAATTGGCAATTTTCCTAGGTCATGTCTCCAAAAGAGTTTATCTTTCCAGCCTGATAGAAATATCAAGAAACTTTTCTTGTATTCTGTGGGCAGGAATTTTGCTCACAACATTAAATAACTACAATCATGCCTTGCTTCCTAACAGAGTATGATCTCGGTTTCATGAATTTTCCTCTAAATGATATTTATAGTCTAATCTTCATCCTTAAGTTTTACCAGGAGATTGAGGACTTCTAATAAAAGTTTTAACAGAGTGTAAAGAACAATGAAGATGATTCATACAAAGGTTACAAAGGTTTACCTTTCTAAAGAGCCTCTGACTTCCACCTCCGGCAGATGTTGGATAATAAATGTAAACATTGTGATCTTCTGCACTGACTGGCTTTTCTACAAATGGCTTTTGGAAAACTTCCCCATTTACTTCTACATGATCTTCCCCTTCAATCAGATTGCATTCTGTAAGTTAAGAAAAACAGCAAGAAAAATTATATACTTGTATTACCTAGATAGCACTTACATTTTTTTTTCCAGTTTCTAGTAAAATTATGCTAAGCCTTATCAAAAAAAGTTAACTAGAGCTAGGGCTCTAGCTGAAGTAGCAGATAGTTGTGAGGCCTGGGATCCAGCCCCAGGACTTAAAAAAAAAAAAAAAAAAAAAAAAAAAAAAACAGGGAGAGCTTCTGTAGGGAGATGTGTTCAAGAAAACTGGAAACACTTGACAGTTTAGGGCACTGGATATCTAGAAAAGAAAAGAAAAGAAAAGAAAAGAAAAGAAAAGAAAAGAAAAGAAAAGAAAAGAAAAGAAAAGAAAAGAAAAGAAAACCACTAGAAAAGGTAAATTACTTGATTTTAATGATGTTTAGAAAAAAAGGAACTTTGCACAGTATGCACAGGAGTAGTAACACAGACTATATATTATAATCATCTGCCTTGGGAAGCTTTTAAAAAACTACAGATGCAGTCACAGGAAGTGGGCCTAATACAAGTATTTATATAGATATTTTAATAAACCTCCTCATGATACTGATTAACAGAGATAAAATACTGGGGTTTGGGTTTTTTGTTTTTTAAGATAGGGTCTTGCTACTTAGCTGAGGACTACCTTAAACTGGCAATTCCACTGCCTCAGAATCCCAGGTGCTGAGACTACAGATATGTGTTGCCACTTGTACTTTTTAACTCCTCTGACATGAAGACATTTTTGTTGAACAACTATTTAGTGATAAGGGCTTTTGAAGCAGAAGTCATGTGTCAGTGGCTTCCTGCTTGATTTAACCATTGTATTCCCTGCCTGAAACTGAGCACTCAACTTTTGGCAAGCACTTCCAGTAGTAAGAAAAACTATGCTACTATGCAATTCTCTTCTGTAATGATGGTTCATCCTATGGGAGAAAATTGTCACACTAAGGCTAGATATTAATAAAGACCTCAAAATACCTCTGTGTGTGTCTCTACTCCCAGTAGCTAACATCCTAAAAACAGAAGGATGATAGAAGACTATGCCTAGAACAGAATCTGTAGGAAAGCAAAGCAAACACCTTAAGTTAGAATTCAATCAATATTTATATAGCATATAATATTTTATTATTCATATTATTAATTACAATTTAAGTGTTTACTTAAGACAAAATTTCTGATTCCCAACGTGGCACCCAATAACTTTATAATCTGAATTCTACTTCTCATTTTTATTTCTTTTAAATTAAATTTGCTTTTCAGAGGTATACCATAGTATTATTGACAATTTATTACTAGATAGAAGATCATATAAAAAGGTAAATTTAAATAATATATTTGTGTTTAAATAAAGATATTTACAGAAACACATATACCAACATTTCTGATATAAATTATTAGGGATGATAACTGCTCCTTGGGATACTATAGTGAGGCAAGAAGACCGTTTAAAGTTCCAGGTAAGTCTCAACTATAGAATGAGAGGGTGGGATCCTGTCTTGGAGAGGGAGAGGGAGATGGGGAGAAAGAGGAAGAGGAGGATGGGGAGAAGGGAAGGAGAAGGGAAAGGAAGGAGGGGGAGACAAAAGGAGAAGAAAAGAGGGAGATAAAGAAGGAGGCAGAAACAGAGACAGAGAGGGAAAAATGATTTTAAGAGAGTTTGAGCAATAACTCCAGAATGACATCTTCTAGAAATGTAGAGGATCATACAGAGCATAGACTTCATGAACCATGAAATTATTCAAGGTAAAAAGCAACTCATATGCACAGGGTAAACAATCCAATCAGGAAGGTAGTTCTTTACTTAATTTTTATTTTATGTGTATGAGTTTTTTTCCTGACTGTAAGTGCATCATGTGCCTGCAGTATCTGTGGAGGCCAGAAGAGGGATCAGATCCCCTAGAACCAGAGTTAGGGACAGGTAAGGTTTCTGTTCTAGATACTAGATTCTTATATCTGGTTTCCAATAAAATTGGATTTCAGGTAAGTACATTATCAAAATTTACCATAATATTGTTATCATATTAGGAAACTTATCCGGCCCTTTAAACCAAGTAATCTATAGTTTAGTTTACATAATATGGACAGAAGGAGTAACAGGTACTTAAAAATATTGGGTATTATTTCAAACTTTCTAGTTACTAGATATTTAATATGGCATTATAACAGTTTTTAAGTCATAAATGAGTCATTTATTTTCTCCTAATATAAATGATGTAAATCAAAGAAGAGTAGGAAGGTAACGTTTAAATTACTAGGTAGCTATTTAGTTCACAGTCTCTCCTTTTGTCTTGTTTTCTGAGACAGGGTCTCACTACAAAGCCCAGCCTTGCTAGAATTTCCTACTGACCTGCCTCAGGCTCCTCTGTACTAGTAGTACAGGCACACATACCATGCTAGTCTCATAATGTCCCATGCTAATCAAATACAGTGCATGCTTAAGTCATTAAGAATGAATTGTTAAATTCTTTCTATTTAGTTACTGCAGAGAAGGGGCAAAGAGTGTGTCAAGAACCAAAAGGAAGTTTGTTTTATTCTCTCTTACCTTTTGGATTATTTGGATCACGGTTCAAAATTGCATACCGAGGAAGTAGGATGCCTTCAGCTTGAAGAATACTATATACTTCTCTTCTAAAGAATAATAAAAACAACCTTATTGTTTGACTATTTCACAATAATATATTGTCACGCAAGTAAATCATTATTCTTTACTATTATAAAAGGTATGCATATCAACATTTTTTTTCATTTTCTTAAATATTTCAAACATCAAAATGTTTCTAAGAAAATAATCAGCAAAATGTATATAAAATACTTTTTGAAGCATATCAACATATAAGATTCAAAACAAGACTGTAAATGTATAAAAAGAAATGATCAAATAAAACTGACATATCACAAAGCAGAATATAGCCTAACTACTAAAACCCTTACCTTAAAAAAAAAATTAATGGATATGGGGAAATGTTTACAGTATGCTAGGAAAAAGTTCATTTTAGCTTTGTAAAATGTGAGTATATATGTATTTTCATGTAACTAATATAAGTAACTTCATGCTGTAATAGTAACATAGAAAGTAGAATGTTATAGAAAATAATATTATACATAGCTACCAGAATGAAATACCAGCTAAGCAGACAAATATATACCCATTTATCATTTTCTTAGAAGTCTATGCTATTGATTTGCTCAATGAATGCTGATATCTCTTAAAGTATTGTTAATAGATATACTTTACCATGAAAACCATCAGTTATTATAATAAATTCTAATTTCATTATCAGTCATTTAATTGAAAACATTCATTTTCTATGGATTTTGCAGGCTTTGGAAATTAAACAAATGTTACCGAAGTCCTAGTCCCACTACCTGAGAAACTGCCTGTGACTTTGGGCAAGTGAACTGACTTCCTCAATTCTCAAGGTTCCTCATCTGCACAATTTGTTAATAAATACCTATTTCTGAGTATGACTTTAAGGATGTAATGAATTCTTCTGTGAAAATATCTGATGTTGTGTCAACATATAGTAGTTACTAAGTAAATGTCCATTTTCTTTCCCCTAGTTTTGTCAGCTTCACCACTCACCTATCTTGTATGAGATACTGCATATTCAAGTCATTGATTACAAATGGATTCCTGAGTTTTGCATAGGCAACTGCTTTGTCCAGTGGAAATCCTAAGAACACATATTATTATCATATTCTGTACAATCTCAAGATAAGCTGACATCTATAAATTTATAAACTTGAATTGATGCCATCTCCCTTAAAATAATTTCATTATTATTCACAACCGCTTTCTATAAAAGATGTAGAATAACAAGAATGTAAATTTTGTATTTTAAGTTATACTATTAAGACAACTTTTTCCTAGTTAATAACCTTGATAAAGCATACCAAGTCAGTGACTATGTAACCAAATTAGAGCAATGACATGATATTCTGTTTGACTATTCAATATCATCAGACAGAAGGTAAGATTACTTGATATATAAAGAGAAATCTATAAATAATATGTTTCACATTCATCTGACTCACTAAAATTCTCCAATCTAAACTATTACTATACATTACTAAAGGAAACAGTATACCATAGCAGTAAAGACCATAAATCAGTGTTGAAATCCTGCTTATCTAGTTATGCTTCTGGCAAACTTATCTACTATCTCTTAATCTCTGACCCTGGCTGTAAATGAGCATTATGAGCATTATAATTGGTCTTACCATGTAGAGTTTTTTTGTTGTTTTTTTTGTTTGTTTGTTTGGTCTTTTTGAGACAGGGCTGTCTTATAGTCCCTGCTGGCCTGGAACTCACTATGTAGACCAGGCTGGCCTGGAACTCACAGAGATAGGCCTGCCTCTGCCTCCCCGGTGCTGGGATTAAAGGTGTGTGCCACCATGCCTGGCCTATTTGAGGAGTTAATTTTTTAATGTACATAAAACATTTAAGAAACTACTTGGCACAGTGTTCAAAAAACACTACTTGCCATTATTCTTGAAGTGACAATTCCTCAATAAACATCTATCTTCTCTCTGGAGGGTAAAAGTCAGTAAGCACATACAACTTAAGAATTTAACTACTGAATACTAACTATATCTGTGAGGGAACTGCAGTTTTGAAGCATTACAAAAGATGTTAGAAAAGTTAGGTTTTAAAACATACTAAAATTCAAACACACACAAAAAAAAATCCATGTTCATTTAAACAAAATTAATTCCTAAGTTAACTCTGAACTTTTAAATTCAGATAGTCTATACTAAAAATCAGCTAGAATCAAATTACAAATCTTACAGTTTTATAAAGACTCTTAGAATTCATTGCTTATAAACGTGTCTCAATGTCATGATTTCAGGCTTCCTACCAAAATTAAGCAGATACAAAATATCTATTCTTGATTCCTTGTTTTATTTTGGGGGGTTTGTTAAAGAACTTCTCTCTCACAAATAGATAATGTATAAAACATGACCTTAGACATTGTGTGCAGTTTTTTAGAAACTAATGGAAGAGTCGTGATCAAAAAGGAAGAACACACTCAAGGGAAAGCAAATTCCAATTTTTTCAGAAAGACAAAAAACTTAGTCAACCAAGGACAGAGCTAGGGTCACTGAAAAACTGAAAATCAAATCAGAATACAAAAACAATCTATCATGCCCCATTTTCTTCCTGTTGAATGAGACGAACATAGTTCAGAATTATATATTTCAGTTAAGGTTATAATTAAACATGAAAGCACACTGTAAAATTTGTGTAATTCTTACTGAGAAAACCAATTAATTCATAAATTTTTATAAAATTTCAGAATAGACTTAGCATTAATTTTAATTAGCAGATTTTACTATAAAGTAATCCTTAAGCTTAATTGCTATTTCCACTTAACTAAAGATAATAAGACCTAAAATTTTAATACTAAGTTCTTAAGAGTAAAGTATGCATACCTACACAAGGAATAACAGATCATTTTCTTTATGGTAAAAACAAAGGACTTAAAATATTCAATAATTCAAGAATTTTGCAATAGATACTCAAGTGTAAATAAAGTTATACATTCAAAGCGCTGATCACCTTATTTTAATAGTGAAATGGAGAATCCAAATGTTTAGTTGTCAGCGAAATATGTTATTTTAATACATTTACACAACTACACATCATGCCACATAAAAAATCAGGTTATTGAAGAATGTGGTCGGGGAGGACTATATGCTACTAAGAAAAAGTTAATGCAAACTTAACTATGACACTAAAGTTCTGAAAACATAGGGAGAAGAAAAAGATTAGAAAGAAATATTTTTAAATGCTAACATGCCTTTCTCTGAGTTAGCTTCATCTTAGTTTTATTTTATCTAATATTCTACAATTAGCATGCACTGGCATTATATTCATAGAAGATAAAGACATCCCTTTTTTAAAAATACCTTTAGAATGGAAAGAAATAAGACAATCACATAAAGGCCAATTTTCCACTGGTTCATTCAAAATAACTTCCTCTTCAAATACTACTACTGTGATATATTTAAACAAAGAGATTCGTTCCAGAATTTCCTTCATTGGTTTAGATTTGGATTTCTTTGCCATGGAACATATTCCCACCACAATCTGCCTTTCCGGTGGCTAAAAGAGAAACAAAACAAAGAAACAGGAGGACTTAATAAGAACTGTAAAACACAGTCATCGTGATCTCTTCTCATAGATAAGGCATATGCATTAAAAAAGTGACATATTAACCATTAAAAACATTAAAAATCTCTTATAATACTGTATAAATAAAATAAATTCATAAAGATCTGAAAAAAATTAAAAAGAAACCACATTCAGCACATTGTTACTACTTTCGATCAAATTTAAAACATAAATAAATATCCCTTCTTCAACTGCTTCCAACATATATTTAGTCTCTTCAGACATAAAAGGACAGGAGTCAAAATCCATCTATTCCTATTAAAAAGTCCAATGAGAATGAGACAAAAATGGTATTATCTAAAATGAAATGTATTTCCAACTAAAAAGCTATACAGCATGAAGTACTTTTGTACAGGGAGCTTCAATATTAGCTGGCCACCAACGGCAACTGTTTAGAAAGCTACACCGCTAACAGACCTTATCAATGCACTTTGACACTCGACTGCAATCTTCATACTCAGTAGTCTTATTTAATGGTGTTGATAATCTTACCAGGTTTTGACCAAAGCAAGATTCACACTAAAATAAGCAGACCATAGAAAAAGTAACAAAATGAGGACCTCATATTCGCAAAATTAGAGACAATTTATTCTTGACTTTGCATTTAGGTACTTGGAGGTGTGTCAACCACATAAAGCGTCTCTTCTCTACAACTGAAGGTGTGTCACGTAATGCTATAATATGGGCTCAAAGGTATTTACTACACTTTCTCTTACTATAATGTAAAAGTAAAATTGGAGAGCACTGGTATTAAATTGTCATTTACACCTAGAGCTATAATTCTACATTGCCTCTTCTGACGAAGGAAATTTATAGTTCAAGGCAGTACTGGATTTGATCATAAATCATAACCATCTTGGAGTCTACTATCTTTACTTCTTCCTCTCATCGTCCACACTGATGTTCCACTGTTCATTTTGTTCCTGATCAAAAGCCTTGGTATAGCTCATTTATAGTGCTCCTAAAGGACAGTGCCCAGGTCAACACGCGAGCTCAGCTTTACCAGCTATTTTTTCTCACTGATGAGACAAAATATCTGACAAATATTAAGGGAGCGATGATTTTGGCTTGAAGTTTCTGAGAGTTTGGTCAACAGCTGCTTGGTTCCATGCACTTAGGCAGAATGTCATTGCCTCTGAAGTACGTGGCAGTAAAGTGTCTCCTGACAGGAAGCAGAAAGAGAGGAGTAGCCTGGGAATGCTATCTAACCTTCAAAGGCACACCCCATGACCCCCCTGCTCCAGGGCCCACCACCAGTGTTTTCACGAAACAGCAACTAGCTGGGAACCAAGCATTTAAAACATGAGCCTATTTGGGATATTTCATATTCAAACCATAACAGCAACATAATATCCATACTGCTTTAGTTTTTTAAAAAAAATATATATATATATATATATCATACTATTTTATTATAGACTTGTTTAATGAGTTATCTGTGTTCAGTGGGTAAGATGAAAGGAAAACATACCCATAAAAATGTGAGTAAACAAACCCACATTAGGACAAAATTACATAATTTTCTTATTAGGTTAAAAACCTTGAAGCATGAAAACAACTTTTAATACAGATCTTAGTTACTTTGTAAGGCTTAATGCGCGCCCCCCCCCACAAAACTGAAGCTCACAGGTTTGAAATATTAATAGAACAAATCATTTTTGGAAGCTATAGGTCTACTGAAGCAAGCCAAGAGCCTCAAGAGTAGCAACAACGTATAACAAGTGCACAGTCTGTTTATTTAGCGCCAACATTCTGAGAATTATAATAAGTGCTGAATATCAGATAGAGATAAAACCACTATCCTCAAAGTACTTTGAGTCTAGCAGAGAACACAGCAATGACATAGCACAATGTGATATATGAAATGGAAAAATATATTCAAAGACATTGACAGATAACTATTGTGGGAAGAAATTCAAATAGGCCATGGGGAAAAGATCAAGGAGGGAGAAAGAGTGAAACACATGAAATGTGAATGAAGACTGAATCATAATTCACTGAGTAAGTCAAAATAAGGGCCATTTCAGGGAAATAAAGAATTCTGTATACCAACAAAGACATGTAATTCAGCATACAAACACAGAAATAAGGGCTGCAGAGATGGCTCAGTAGTTCAGAGCACTTGCTATTCTTAGGAGGACCCAGGTTTGGTTCCCAGCACCCATATGGTAGTTCACAGTGTCTGTTAACTCAAGTTTCCAGGGGACCCGGTAACCTCTTGTGGCTTCTGCAGGCACCAGGCATATACATGGTGCACATAAATATATGCAAAACACCCACAACATAAAAATAAATAAATCTAAAAAAAATGGAAATAAGAATTCTGATATACTGAAAAGCAGGAAAGATGCAGATATCTAGGTATAAATACAACTGGGAAATAAAATTCCTTTTAAGAAAGAAGACAGGAATTGATCTATCCGTAGTGTTTACTAACTAGAAGAGCTCTAGAGGAAAAAGGATGAAGCTGCTTGAGGCAAAGTCAGAAGCACTTTCTACTCTAAGTGAGTCAGAGTTCTGCTTTCATATTTTTCCCCATTGCATGTCTAGATGAGATGTTGACATTTAGAGGGTTGTGGACAGTAAAACAAAATCCTAAAAGTCATTTTCCCACCACAGTTACAAGGTAGGAAAGGCACTCTGCATTGGAGGTGATATGAATGTCAGATGAATTTGTATTTTTGAGACCTATAATTTCACTGCAAGCAGTACTGCTCCTCTGGAAAAGATTTAGAGAATCATCTGATACATATCATGGTTTGTCTTTACTATTTAAGTTTGACAGATTTTCCTTTTAAAATAAGATTCTGTTTCTAACTTGAAACGTGAAAATGAATATATTTTATATTTGTATTTTAAAACACCTCTCAAAATAATCTCTGCCTGCAAACAGGATCAACAATAAATTTAAAAATATTAAATTGATATAACTAGCAAAATGAATATAGTAGATATATATCATTCCTAAGATGCAGTATGGATCTGGCATTCTAATATATCAGGAAATAAGTAAGGCACACTGATTTTCACACTCATAGACAAACACACTCATACATACACAAAGGTAGGTGGTTGAGATCACTTCTTCAGTCTGTAGACTTCTAAATAGTTAATAAATAGGGACATGTTTGTTCAGCTGGCACTTGAATTGACTACATTCTAAATTTAAAAGTATCTAGTTAAGTAAATGATTCCTTCTTTAGTATTCGTGAGATTGTTTCTTCAGGTTGGTATATACCATGCATTTTTATATTTAAGAATTTCTTTTGATTATAGCCCAGTTTCCTGTTTCTTACCCCCTTTTTCTGCCCAACTGTGAAAGTCATTGCTGAAGAAAACTGAAAGCATCATTAAACAACTTAGAACTCTGACCTCTAACTGCATTTATTATACTTCTAAATTCATCATCTATCCAATAATATCACTAATACTTTTTCACTTAAAATTTTTTTAATAAGCATACATGAAAAGGCAGTCTTAATTTAAAACTGTGGTATTAGTTTGCATTAACAGTGATTAGTAAAAATCCTATAGTATATTGGTGCATCACAAAAGAAAGAAATTAGAAAAAGAGAAAGAGCTTACAGACTCATCCTCCTCCTCCTCCTCCTCGTCTGCGTGGTGGAAGAAACGACGATAATTTCCAGGGTTAATTTCTGTATCTTCAGGCCCAACAAAGAATCGGGGGGCTTCACTCATTTTTATTTCATTTGATATAGATAGAATTTAAATAATCTGTATTGAAACTGCTTCTAAATAAGTAGTTCCAGAAGAAAGCATTCTCCCTACACTAGCTGCCACATAGGTCTGCTGCAGATTGTTTCTTGTACAATCACATGAAATGTGCTGACACTGACTTGGCAAACACTCCTCTGGTCTCAGATATCATTGCTTCATTGTTGATCTCAAAGTTGCTGCTGCAGTTTAAAACACAAAGACAGCAAGCCCACTGCTTCCCTGAGTTGAAACGGCAATCTTTTTACCTAAAATGTAATGAAAACAATTAATTTGGAGAGGTTACCTCAAAAACACTCACCTAAAAATAATTTAAATGATACTAGTAAGATTAGAACCAATAACTTGATGAAGCCTAGCAAAACGAAAATATATTTTCCACCATATAAGAAATTAAGATTCTATATAGTGTTCAGTAAAATACATCATAGCAATTCATAAGATGATACAAAATAAAAAGATTGTACTAAATTCTTCAAGTCTACAAGTACCTGAAAATTCAAATATTATTCAAATTATAAAACAAAATTTTGTTAAAAGTAAAAGCTGCCAGTACATAGTTGTATCTAATATGGAAAAGACAAAATGTAATGTGAGTTTGAAAACAACTAAAAATTGAGCATTGATCTAAAATAGCATTGAATCAATTTGTAAAAGTTCAGCTCAAGTTTCTAGGTTCACAGTTGAACTAATACAGTTATACAATATTGAACTCAGTATAAGCCCTGTAAGACATTAAATGAATGAGTTTTTAACCTTTAAGACAGGGTCTCCCTGTAGCCCCAGCTGTCCTGGAACTCACCATGTAGACCAGGCTGGCCTTGAACTCACAGAGATCTGCCTGCCTCTGCCTCCCAAGTGCTGGGATTAAAGGTGTGCACCACCACGCCCGGCTGCTAAGCAGTTTTTAACCATCAGTTTATGAACTTTTGTTGAATGAAATCTTTTAATTTTCTTTGATTTATGTAAGAGACCAGATTGCTCCACTTGCTCTGGAGTGTGTTACTGAATATGTTAAAGCTGTAGTGAAATGT